GTCCGCTACCTTTCGACCGATTTTTCGTGAAGGGAAGACTCGTTTGCTCAGGGTGGGACTGATCTACCATATTGTAGTCATACCAAGCTCATGACCGCTGCGCTAACCCTTTTACTGTCTTTCGACTAAGCGACTATGTTTACTTCTTCTTGTTTACATGAGAGAACAATCGGAAACCATTACTAATTCAGTAGGTAAACAAGTAAGGAAGGTTACACATTCACGCGATATCCAACAGTAACAAGTGGTAGCCAAATTGAAACGACGGAGGATTTTATGGAAGAGTTTCAATAACAAAAACAATATCGACAGGTTGCAAATACAAAGGTAGAAAACCAGTTCCACCCCGCCACCAGTGATGTGCATAAAATTCGCCATCTATCACTATCTGAAGGCCATGATTGTGATGGGAATTGCCCACCAGTCGAATACCAACGACGAGAACGACGATATTGCCCCGCCACCAGTGGTGGAGGAGGAGGAGTTGAATAAAACATCCCAAATCAGATCGATAAACGAAATAAAATGAGCGGAGGAAATGTGGGTAAATGAAATGTTCAGGATGGCATGGGATGCCCTCCTTCGTGAGAGGGGGATGCCGCCATCACCCATTGGTGTGATCGGGGGTCATTACAACAGGGTATCATGAGAACTTTTTGACGTTTCGGCTCGTTCACCTCACTGATCACCTGGGCGTTGTTTATCTGATCACCTGAGGTGCCGAAAAATCAACACTAGGCATCAGTAAACAACAACAGCAAAACGTGGTGGTATGGAGTAAAGAAATAAACATCAAAGCACAACTTCATCACTGCATCACACACTTTTTCATGGATGTTTTGAGTTAAATAGGGCATTACAAACAAATTAATACGGTTTAAATAAAAACTTGTAAAAATTTGTTTCTTCTATTGGATGCTTTCGCTCGAGAAAATAAACAGTACGATGGCAAATGAAACTTAACTCATAACTTATCCAACTTTGCATCAAAATTGGCTTCGGAGGGGATAAAGGTTCCATCCAAGCTTTTTCTATGGCATTATTGGTACTGATCGATCGGTAGTAGTAGTAATGGGGCCCGGTCAAAGGTCAACCTACTGGAGTAACAGGTGAAGCGAACTAAGTTCTTCAAAGACCCGAGCCAAACTATAATACTAGTAAAGGGAGGGGGGAGTAGGAGTGGGACGGTGGGGACCTAGTAACTTGCCAGTGAAATATGAGAAGAGTACATTTTTCGAGGGGTAATGAATAGCTCAAGGAGGGTTCCCGTATGCAGTAGTATTTATGATGTAATTACAGAATGAGCCGTCTATCGCACGGCAATCGTTGGTTACATGAACCTACTACTGGTTGGTTACTAGTAACTGCACGGATAGCATTTTAGATCTCGACTGGCGCAGTAGCTGACCGCTTACCAATTTCTTGTTCTATGGATCGAGTCCAGTTCAACCAGTGGAGGTTTTCAACGACCATATATGGGACTTTACCGCTTATTAAGTGACCCGAGATCTCTTTTACAAGTTCTACAACTCGAGAGGAAAGTCGAATACATGGCGCACGCAAGAGGTCATAGCCTTCCACAGACTCTGGGTTTTTATGACATTTCTTGAGCACTTTATCTACAGTGGGCAGTGATGTCGGGGAAATTTTCCAGGCGTTTTGCTGGAGGTTTAAACCAGCCTTTGTTTGACACCCAGGCTATTATTAACAATTTATTGCAGTCGCAGCATAACCCTCCATTACCAAAATAATGAAGGGGTTCCCATTTTACACAAAGTGATTCCTGCTGTTCAAAACTGCACGAGTTCAGTAGTAATGTTCAGAGGTGAGGTTCGTAGATTTGCCACCTTCAAAGCTTTCAATTGATCCATCTGGTGGGTCCCACTGCCAGTAGTTCGGGAGTTTCACGATCAGAAATGATTATATTCCCTCATAACGATATGGGCTATGAGACTTGGGTGAAAAAAGGGTTCTCCCGTGGAATACCAGCAATTCCCAGCAGTACACAACTTTAATCTCCACTCAGCTACAGTTCTCCAAGAACAGCTCGAGATGTATCAAAGCCGCTTTCTCGTCTGGGAGGTATCCCATGGGTAGGAATCGATGGTCGGTGAAAAGCTCACATGGGCATTGACGGATTGAATAGAAGTCTAGCTAACCGGTAGATATAGGCAATAAAGATATGGGTAAGTATCACTACAAAAATGATCAGTGCCTAACCACCATGTCACTTTTGCACGGGGAATGACATCGTTTCAATGGTTTTTCTGTTTGCTGTGAACTCGGCGATGAATGGCACTTGGATGCATCTCTTTCAATGCAGGTTCATACAAAAACTGTTGGTTTTGATGACTATCGACGTGAAAACAAACATTCAGACCTTATGGCCTCCCTTGAAACATTCCAATTACTTGGTTCGAGCTAAGGGACCCTTCAGATGCACTCCTAAAACAAATGAACGGGGGCGTTGGAATGAAAGTAAATTGCCTTCGAATTCCGCTTGATTTTTTCCAAAGCTAGCATGTGAAAAGTGGCAAGTAGGAAAAGGTACTGCTCAGCTCCCATTCAGTAAACTGTTCTTCTACAATAAGCTGCAACTCCTTCGCAATGGATTGAATGACTTGGTACTACTACTTCAAGAACAGACAGTCTTATAACCCCTAATAGATCAGTGATAGACAATCGATCCGGTAGAGGGCGTAATCGGTTCCGATCCTATCTGTATCGGTACGAGAGTTGATCCTAGCGCCATGCCTAATTGTAAGGTAGCTGTGCTAGATGGTTTTCAGTGAACACTACCATTCAAGCATATAGCAAAAAGAAATTTGTTAGGCAATGACGTAAAGAAATGAATGAGGAGGCTCCTGGGTGAATGAGGAGGCTCCTGGGTGAATGAGGAGGCTCCTGGG